GAAAATGATGAATAAAAACGTAAAAATATGATTAGTGTTAATATGAGTGTATTACATACATATGTTTAAATAACGCACTTTACAAAAAACAACAGATTTAAAGATTCACTGAAAAAGTAGTAATGTTAAAATTAAATAAAACATTATCAATAATAATTATGCGATCGCACCTATCCGTAAAACAAGCAAGCAAAAAAAAGAATTCTTACGGAAAGTTACACTTTACGATATAATTTTTTAACTGTTAAAGGCAAACCCCATTTAAACACAAAACTTTTTAATACCTACTACTATATCTAAAAGACTTTTTTTTAAATTACTAAATTCTTAGCCACGCTTCTGTTTTCCTTGGCTGTTGTGCGTCACGTCACAGATTAACAGGCCCACGTTTGCACCACAAGGCGATGCTGCAGACCACTAGGTAGACCGGTCGTAGAAATTTATGCTATACAACTTGTAGTCAATCTACACAAATATTAACCTTTTTTTCTTTTAAAATGTGTTCAGATTTTGTAAAAAGTATAAGTCAAAATCCCAAAACTTAAATTTGATATGAGTTTCTTAGTCTTTAACTAATATAGTGGCGAATTACAGAAATTCCTTTTCAATGAAAATTAATGAGTTAAATAAAATAATTTAATAAATTACTAGCTTTTTCTCGCGACTACGTTCGCGTTACACCTCGAATCGTTCATGCATTGATTTAAATGATTTTTTACTTCTTTATAGAGAGCTAGTGAGCATAGATGTTTTTTATTTTTCATCTTTTTTTATTTATTAAGAGCACTAATACTCTCTTTATAGGTTATTTTTATTCTTTGAAGGATAATTGAGGAAGATATATTTCGTTATGATGTCACTAAATAAACCCTTGTATAAAATTTTATACTGTCTGGTTTATAATGTTATAATATTGCATTTTCGTACAGCAAACTTTCATTTCCTATTCTACTCCCTAAGGGTATAAATTTCATAAATTCGCTTTAACTTTGTGCCAATTTTTATGTGTATAATCCAGTGGTCACCAAGTTTTATATAAATTTTTACTAACTTTACCCATTTGGTTGATGAATTTCAAAAATTTCTTCTAATAATATATATATATATAATATAATGTAATTTGTTGGAATTATATCTTCTTTAAATATAATTAGACTTTTTAACGACTTTTAAGTTACCTAGGAAAAAATCTGTGCACGTACCTACCAGTATTGTTACAGGTTAATGCGTGAAACAAATGTGTTATATATTATTCGTAGTATTAGTGGTATTATATTGGAATCAGCTTGGCATTAGTGGGGCATTATATGAGAAATTTTGGTATTTAATTTGAATTTTTGGCATTAGTATACAGACATTTGTCAGCGGTTTACTCCTTGTAGATAATCAAAAAGTTTTTTGATAAAATTTGCTTTTTATGTCAGATCATTTCTATGAAAAATTACATTAGATTTTTATTAAAGACGCTGGGTAATTAAAACATTGACTAATAAAGCTTGTCCACTTTAAATAAGGGGTCACGAAATATCCTCCTTGGAGTGTTTGGGTTAAGGGGTGTATAATAAATTAATCGTTGTTTTATAATAAAAACCATAAAACATTTATTTGTGAGTAAAATAATGCAATAGTTGGATATCTCTCCTTTATAATTAGGTGACTAAAATACACTAAAATAATTAGAAAAAAAATCTTGTACTTATTTAGTAATTACGTCAATATTAATTAATTGACTTTCTAGTCTATTTTATTTTATGTACAAATATATTATTAAATTTTAAGCATTAAGTAATAAAACACTTTGTGGCCCTCTTTATATCGTAAGAGGTTACGAAATATACTCCTGGTTACACCCCTTACAGAAAACAGTGTAAGGGATGTAAATAAATTGTATAATCACTGTTTTTCATAATAAAATCTATAAAACATTTCTTATTTGTGAGATTAAAAAAACAAAACAATGCATTGCTTAAAATAAGTACATTCAATATATATGTATGTGTTATAACATAATATAGCCATTACTATTATACTATTATTATTAAAATAATATGTGTGTAACATATTTCTTTAACGAATTAACCTGTAACAGACTTTTCTTATTTATATGCCCAGTATATTTTTTGTTTAACAAACCAATCAGGAAAAATCCAAAACCTACCGTTATAGGAGGTATAAGATGATTAAACTTATATAATGACAACTACTTATCGGATAACAAATTAATTACTACTGTCAGCTAGTTCAGCTACTGTCTAGGTAGAATATACCTAGAGTACCTACACCTACCTATGATGTAGGTAGATTAAAGCTTATTTTGACGTTACCTCTCACTTCGGTGTCACAAGCTGAATTTTTCAGGGATGGAAGTACAGTACATGATATGGGGACCCTTATTCCGAAAGTAGTACAAAATTAGACCGGGTAAAAGGGCACTATCATCAAAAATCGATATATTAATACCACCGTATAGAGAAAACAAATACTTATTTTTTGATCCAGTACACAATAAAGTCTTCGTAGGGAGTAATTTTTATAATTATTTACGAAAAAACATTTCCATTAGCGCTTATGACCAAAAAAAACTTTAAACATGAAGAAATCATTTCAATCATGCGAAAATTTGGTTTAAAAATAGATTTTTTTTAATATAACTTTCATTTAACGAAAAACGAAGGCCTAAATGAAAAAAGAAACAATTTAAAAGTTTCGCTTATGTCTTGACAAGGTATCAAAGCAAACCCCATATTTTTTGCTTTTAAACTAATAAAGATATATCAATAAACAATTAGCGATGTAATGGTTTTTGCGCGCGCTGGCCGACTGCCGCCGCTGCGCCGAGATTTCCTATACCCTTGTATATATGACGCCATGGTGTGGCAAATGTAGCATTTTAATTCGATTTGGGCTCCCTTATATAGGATAACAGAAACATTTTCAATGTTAAAACAAATAATAAGTAATATAATCTAGGAAAAGCCCAACACATCCGCAAAAATTAAAATCAAATTCAAATATGTCAATTAAAACGTCAAACGCAACTGATATCAAAAATGGTGCATCATGACGACGGTTTCACCACTAATGCATAATTATAAATATAGTATAAACTCTTCCATTCTTTTAGGGGAAAACACCTTTTCTTACAATTATGTTCTTAATAAATCTTTCTTCTTCATTTCCTTTTTTTGTCATGGAGACTTTCAACTGCACAAAAGTTTAAACTAGATTTTTGACTTCTCCAACTCAAACTGGCCGGACCTTCAATAAAAAGGACAATAGGTTGGCGATTCCATTTGCAATAAGCGTACTTTACACTCCAACTTTCTTCCAACTGTTTGGAGACGCTCTCTGATATAACGCAGGACTTCTTTAGAGCTTTTCTTTACACAAGTTCTATGCGCTTGAGAAGATGCACTTGTTCTTTTGCCAGATTAAGTTTCTTGGCAAAGTTAAAATGAGGTATAGTTAAAATATCACACAATCGGCAAAAAAACGGCGTCAAAGATGGCTTGGAAATAGAGGTCGGTTTCATTTTATATGTAAAATTTTATGGGTCATTTTCTCTATATGTATAAAAAATTATTACTACCTAACCTAACCCAGCCGCTTTTTTGATAATATGTAGTATATTTGAAGACAGATATTACTGGTTTTGTATGTTTATTATTTACTAGTGATGGGAATACCGGTTCCTCATGAATCACGTTACAATAGCGACCGTTCCAGAGAAATACACAATATAATTAACATTGAATAAGGAAAATTGAGCGAATTGAAAGATTCAAATAAATAATATCCAGATCAGCAATTTAAAAGAAACTATTTTTAACTTTTATTTGTGAATTTGAAATCTCAATGTACGATCTAAAAATATACATAATATTAATCGTAGTTATTATAAATATATCAACTTCTACAAACAAGTTTCTACATATAAGCTATACATGTTCGAAAGGGTTACCACCCTCCCTATTGGACACATTTATTTTCAGCAGATCATCTTCTTATACTTCCGAATGCATTTTGTACTCTTTGTTGTAAATGTTGAGGTATATTGACTTCGCTTTTACAAATGACGTCAAGTAAAGCCCCCGCGCCTTGGTAACAGGTCCAGGAACCTCGCTGGCCATTATACTGCTTCACCATTTCCAATCCACCTTCCGGGGAAATGATTTCATTGTTTATATTATATTATATTTATATTATTTTTTATTATTTAATGTATTTTATAGTTTTAAAGCTCATCAATATTGTAACAATGAATAGATTAAATATTTAAAAAAAACAAAGCCGAACTCGAAATTAGTTTAAATAAATTGTGTTTAAATGCCCGAAACAAAAAATTAAGTGTGGCATATCATTGTACTCAGGAGCCCGAATTCTTTCAAAACCTGAAATAAAAAATGCAGGTCCGTATTTAAAAAAAATGAATTTGGTCTATGTATCTCACAAATTATCAGCTAATTTGAAAATCTAAAAAACAGATAGCCCTGATAAAGTGGCTATGAGAATATGCAATTAGTTTTTTTGATTTTATAAAAAAGTAACGACAGGACAATATAAAATTGATTTCCAACAAAAATCTGTTTTTTTAAATAACTCAGAAATCCTTAAAATTTCTAAAACTTTTTTGATGGTATCTTGGTGAACATTCCAAAGCGGCAACTTTGCCCCAATTTAACCATGTTCGTATCTATTACGGTTACCGAGATACCAATGCTGATACCTCGAATTTGTAGCACCATGTATAATATTTGCACATCGTGGTATATTTGGAATAAATTAGAGTAAATATCTCGAATTAGAGACCAGATATATAGAGCCTTACGGAGCTCTATATCACCTAGTATAAAATTAACTTAGTTTATCAAAGAATGAAATTACTAAAAAAATATCGATAGATAAAATAATATTACTAAATTAACATTTTTTCATCACAACTGCTAAAAAAGAATAAAAAATTACATTTTTATACTAACAACCTTGTTTTTTTCTTGCAGGATGACACGAAATCTGTTAAGTCAGGAGAGAAGAAGCGATGGATACACGACCCATCAAGTAAGCGATATTTTATTATTTTGCCTGAAACTGACTAGCGCTCGGCTAAAAAATATTCACGATAAAAATAATTCCCGACTTCCTTTCCGCTCTACAGCGTTAAACTGTCAGAATTTTTAATTAAAAATTTTATAAATTTTATTCCGGATTATAAATGAAATTTTATTAGCCGTACAACGCCGAGACTCTCAGTGATGAGTTTTATTAACTTATACATCACATTTTTTTTAGATACTAATTTTGATATTATCTTTTATATTTGCCTTTCAAAAAAAATCGATATTCGCGTTTTCAGAAACCATACAGATAATATTCTGTGTTTATTATTTAAAAAGATATTGTATCTCTTAAAAAGGTTTTTTTTATTTTCAAAATTGTTTCACATACGTTGAGATGATCATGAAAAGGTGTAAATGTATTATGAACATGTGTATCATAAAAACTTATGTTATGACAAAAAATAGGAACTATTTTTTGAAGCGTACCTTAAAGCATTCCTTATTTTATTAAACGGAAAGTTAAATTTTTCATGTATTTTAAAGTTTTATATATTGTGTTCTAGTGGACCGATTCTGATGATTTTTTAAGCAATTTGTAGTTAAATTATTTTACTTTTTGTCTTTCTAAATTAAAAATGAAAGTTCCCATCTGTCAATTATATGGGGGAAAACAAAATGTTGATATTTTGGTGAAAGTATGGAAGACCCTGTGGAGTACGTTAACAAAGCAAGGAATGTAAAAATTATTTTATCATCTAGGTGTATCTTTTCTCGATAGTTTGCTTTTTGATTCATCTCAATAGCTGTTTTTCTTTTCGAGATATTCGCTTTTGAAGACGACACTAACATTTTGCGTATTTTTTACATTAAAACCATGTCTTTGCGTTTGGTCCTAGTCAGCAGACCTATAAAAGAGTGTTTATGATTTATGTAATGTCACTGTCTTTGAAAAATCATACTATTATTGTCTGTTGCGCAGTTACTCTAGCAGAAATTATTTTAAGTGCAAAAGTTGACCCCTACCATGATCAATTAAAGCAGCAATATCCGATAGTTCAGTATTTAAAACTATCTCTACTACTCGTAGAGTAAACGTCAACAAACAATAATAATATGACTTTTCAATGACAGTGACGTTACAAAAACAGTAAACACTATTTTGTAAGATGATAACCCAAAATCAATGCTAAAATTGCTGTAGGTAGTCTTCTTTAGAAGCGAATATCTCCAATAAAAATAAAGATATTGAGATAAATGAAAAAACAAACTATCGATAAAAGATGTATCTACATGATAAAATTATTTCTAAATTCCTTGCATTTGCTAACATATTCTACAGGGTGTTTCAAACATTTTTGTCTTCCCTCGTGTAACTGACAGATGGGAACTTTAATTTTTAATTTAAAAAGAGACACTAAAAAGCCAAATAATTTAGCTACAAACATCTTAAATATCATCAAAATCGGTCCACTAGAAAGTGCCGTACCCTCCGTATTATAGGACTTTAATAAATTTAAAAACAGTTTTTAAAGTATAACAGTCTTTTGGAACTTTGAAAAATATTTTTACCAAATATACCCTATCATCGAGGAAAAAAGCCACCACAATAGCCTTTAAAAAGGCAATCTGTAATTATTACCGCCAGATCCTTGTCTGTTATTCACTAAGAGTTGACAAAAAATGTCAAAAATTAATATTTAATTTAGAAAAAGTAAAAACATCACAAAGACAAATCTGGCTATTTTACAAAAAAATTAACTGAAAAAAGTTGCCTGTAATTATCTAGTTTGTCAAAAAAAATTCAATTTAACCATTTTTAAACTAGTGTATGTTATTTTTTCAGGGGATTTTTACGTAAGAGCGAATTTATAAATTTTCCTGTAGGTACTATCACCCTTTTTACTCACTAACACTGCTGGACTTGTTGCTTTATGGTTTTATTACATTCTCTAACACATAACATGGAATATTGGCACTTTTAAAACTTTTGTGGTACTTTTAGTACGTCGATCCCACTTCTGATATCAGAATATAATACGTATTTTCCAAATAAAACACTAGATTTTTATAACTCCTATATTCTATTTTTTTAATATTCTCACGAAATTCTTAATTGTCTGTTCTTAACTATACTATATTAAGCTTAGCGTGTCCCCCAATTTATCATTCATAGTTACATAATATTAAGGGCCATTCTCTGAATTATTACGCGTTGAAGCTCACATATAAAATATGATCGAAAAAAAAACGGCGTCAGCGATGGCTATTAAATAAAGATCACTGTCATTTTATATATAAAATTATATAAGGAATGTCATCATACGGTATAATGTATCAAAAACATACTTACTTTTTTTCGATATTTTATATAAGAAGTATCATCAACGAAAGAGTCATCTAAATTACCTTTAAAAAATGACAACCGATTTTCATTTCAACGGCGACTTGGCGTCTTTTTTGTTCATATGGTTCATATAGGCCAATATCGACTGTGAAATACAGCACAGGATTCAAGAGCATCAAGAGCCTCAAGAGCGCCTCAAGAGCATTCTGGAAATTAAAAGGCAGGGTTTTCTACAATCATGACTTGAGTACAAAAACGAAACTTGCAGTGTACCGAGCAATTATAATCCCCACCATGTTATATGGGAGCGAAACCTGGGTGCCATACCGCCGACACATGAACGCATTAAACAAGTTGCAACAGAGACACCTTAGACAACTCTTAAGAATCCGGTGGTTCCATCATGTCTCAAATGTATCGGTCCTTGCAAAAGCTAACTGCGAGAGTATTGAAGTTATGGTTACAAAATCCCGCTTAAGATGGGCTGGTCACGTATGCAGAATGCAAGAAAACCGCATACCAAAATCTCTGCTTTACGGTGAGCTTGTAGACGGTAAGAGGAGGCCGGGTGGACAACTCAAAAGGTACAAGGACATTTTTCACGAAAACTTAAAGGGGTTAACATGCAGAATCATTGGGAAGAAGCAGTTCACAATAGAACTCAATGGAGAAGAATTGTAAACTCAGTTAACAGCAACAACCAAAAAGCAAAGAGGCAACAAAGCAATGAGACTTTTGAATGTCTGGAGTGCGGTAGGCAAATAACATCACGTATCGGGCTTTTCAGTCGCAGAAAAGCTCATGAAAAAAAAACGCCTTGCGTGACCATCTTTTGATGCGTGTCGAATACTCGTCAGCGAGTAATGGCAGTATATATGTATGTATGTATGGTTCATATTTAATCATTAATAGAAAAATATTTAACATATGGATCTACTACCTTTTTCAAATTTATTAATCTTTTTCTAATCAATGTTTTTATTACTATCTAGTATTACACGTGATTATTTTGTGGAAAACACTATAATGATATTAGTAATATTAGTATTACTATGGTTGTTCTCGTATTTTCATAAGTATTTTACCTAGGCAAATTTTAAAGTTGGGTAATTATAAAATTATACAAATATATTGAATTACGCCGCTCTAAACTCTCGCTTAAAGCGCGAATTATTTTTAGAGCGTCATATTGGAAATGTATACCAGATTGTGATATATTTGTGAAAAGTTCTTACTTCTGGAAAAAGTTATACTTTATTAATTTTCATTGAATAATGTGAATTGAACATCAGGAGGATTTCTACGATGATTTTGTTGTCTCTCACCGTACAACGTTCATTTACCACAACAAATAAATATTTCTAGAAAAAGTATATCACGACACAATTTTTCAACTGTGTAAAAAAATACGATAGCAAAAAGATTAACCACAGATTATATTTTTCTAACAAAATCTGGTTTAAAAATACCAGCTAAATTCATCGGCATGGTATTTTACTTTAAATTTTAATCGGATTAAAGCAGATATTAATTTGTAATGACTAAAGTGACGAAACTTCATCGTGGAAATTTAAATTCTATTTTATGTCTTTCTGGGGAATTTAATAGAAGCCTTCGTATTTAATAAAGTTTAGAAACTATTTAAACGTTTTAAAACAATTTTGTTTAATCTTAACAAGTTCATATTTTGATTGACTATTTCTAACATGCTTTATATTATTACTTACTAATGAAAAGTAGTTCCAACGATTGCACGCTACACAAGTAATTATTTTTGAAGTCTCTTTGTAAGATTCACAATAATCTCACTGTAGCTTCAATTTCGATGCAATATCTGGTCCAGATTTATATACTACGAATCAATCCAGTTGTAAAAGCAAAAGGCAAAATAATCAAATTAGTTAGTTATAAAATAAATAAGAAATAATACATAATAAACATATGGAAGCTGAGCAAACTTACAAAAAATTTAGTTTGGCAAGATAAATATACTTTTTTATCAAAAATGGTGTTTCAGAATGGTTGTCATGACATGGCGTCCGTCTACAGTACGTACTACTAAGTAAAGTAAAGTAAAGTAAAGTTTACTTATCAAAAAAGTAAGGATTTCAATAAGTACAATGTAATTAAAAAAAATAAAATTAAAGTTTCTGAAAAATAAGAAAACAAAAATAAATAAAGCTATTCCTTAATTATAGATTTTCTATTTTGACAAATAAACTCTCACCAAGTTGCTCACCAAAGAAATAAATCTTGTCGGTGAGAAAACTATTTCTATTAAGCAATCAAGAAAATAAACAAGCATAAGAACAGATAAGGGGGACAAAGAAATACTACGTACGTATTTTTTATTAAAAAATAATAGAATATAGTTTTTTCCAAAAATAAGAATTTTTCAATAATATATTGCAGACTGGTATACAGTATGTCCTCGGATTGTCTTTTCAAAGGGGAAAACTTTTTTATTGATTATTTTTTTGACATTTTGAGAAAAACGCATTCTTCATAAAAAAAATCTAAAATGGTTAGTCCCGTTTATACTTTTCCAAGTTTCCATACGGTTTTAGAGAAAATCAAAAAACATAAAAATATAGTTGAATTTTTTAGAAGTCCAAAAATAAAAACGCGCTTCTACGGTAATATAATTTCGTTTTCAT